GCATTTCAGAGATGTGGACCATCTGCTCCACATGTTAAAATGAAGATGGGGATTTACTGCTGCATCTTTTTCATATGAATAAAACACAACTCAGATCTCCATCAAAGAACAAAACCAAATTAATTGCACAGTGAGATAAATACAAACACAAACTTTTCAACATCTTAAGAGAGAAAAGGCAGTTCTTAACTGATTACAGTAAAAATCAGATACAGCTCAGATTGATCAGGGTTTTTAAAACTTATATGGAAAATAAAACAAAAATGTGAAAATCTTAATGAGATTCTCCAAAAGAATAAAATATCTGTCACGGTGCTACAATAATTAAGTTAAAATTGAATGCCCATGATCAAATAAAAGTCTTATTTTAAAAGTTCCACATAATGTGGAAAGATGAACTGGAAAATCCAATGAAAATGTTAGGTGCTGCTCTCCAAAAACAAAAAAGATAAAGAACTTCATTTGAAAACAGAGATTGCTTTGCTTTTTTCTGGAGATCTAGGGAAACTATGAGATTATTTCTTTGATATGTTTTTATGTTGTCAGATTTCCCAAATGCCCGCAAAGACTTTGTATAATCAAATAATGAGAAATATGCATTTAAAAAATTCCATTTAACTTTTGGAAGTCAACAAGCTAAATAAAGTACACTTACTGTCGTTGTTGTGTCTTTTGTTCCCCATTTATCTTAAAAGCTGCTTCTTTCTTTCTCTGGTTCAAAGAGACAAGTAAGTAACTCTGGAGACATAAAAGTGAATTACTGGCCGAGTGCTGACCTCATAATGGTAGTCTCTAGAGCACCCGATAAAAAAAATCACATATGGTGTAAGTTCAATCATTTCAGACTTTTGCAATTTAAAATGCCTTCTTTTGTGTAAGGAGATGACAGTGGCTGCACCGACAGGTCGTCTGTTTCTGTGCTGCTTTTCCAGGTGGATGCACATCTAACATCTTCCTCGTGGTCATTCCTGTGAAAAATTACTGACTTTGGGAGATGGCTGTGGCTAAAATAGCAAATTTACTGGCCCTCTGGGAGATCAACATTCTCAGCATTGTTGTTGTTTTGTTTTTTTTGTTTTTTTTAAGCTAAAACTCAAATAATGACACCTGACTTGCAGATTTTATTTGAGTTAAATCAGATTTGTTAATGTTTAGACCTCGACGTTAAAACAGCGCACACCACGTGGTAAATGCAGACATGCATTTGTTGAATGTGAAAGTCTTTGTCTCATTAGTGACCACACTCACCATATACCAAAAGTGTGGGGAAAAAAAGAATCACTTCTTATTAAAAATAGATTAGCTGCTCTTAGAGGCAAGGACTTTAGTTATTTTAGATTTCAAAACAAAACTGGCCTTTAAAAAAACGTGGAATTAATTGTTGTTTTATTCCTGCTATTGTTTGGAGGGAGGAAATTACATTTATGGTCCAAAACTGAGAACCAAAGCCACTGATCACCACACATCCGAGTGTGCATTCTGCCAACAATTTGCCCATAGTTGGGGCCAGAGCTGGCCAGAAGCACTAGGGTACGGAGAAGGGCCAGATTAGATTAACCCCCAAAGCAATACAACTTATCACCAATAACGATGAGGAGATGAGCTTGTGGCTAGAGGGATTCCTAGAACAAAGTTATGCAGAGAGTCTCTTCACTCTCTTCCATCCCAGAGGGAGCCCAAGAGGAAAGATGTGAAGACGGTGATGTAAACACGGCGATGCCTGCATGCACTGGAGATGGGAGGCATGTCTGCTTAGCCAGTATACCTACCAGTTATCTGCTGTGTTACCAGGCATGGCCCGGGGGGTCTGGGAGAGTAGGTGGGGATGGTGAGGAAGTGCGAGTGCTCCCTGGGTATGGTAGAACCACGCAGCGTAGCTGAGTGTGAAGCTTCTTGCCAGCATTCTACTCAAGATTCCCGTGTAGATAACGGATCCCAGCAGCAAGAAGGTCATGGCAGGGGATGTAGAGGAGGTGGAGGCAGGTTGTGTAGAGGTGGCCAGGAGTGTAGAAAAGGCCAAGTCTGAGCTGGGCAGTGGGAGGTCCCTCTCTTCTGTGGTCCTCTGAAGAGTCCACACACAAGCCCCAGTGAGAGAACTGGCATTTAAATGAGAAATGAGAAAGAGCAACAGCCAACCAGAGAGAACTTTGCAATTTCCTGTTAACCGGGATTTTTAAAATTATACTTTAAGTTCTAGGGTACATGTGCACAACATGCAGGTTTGTTACATATGTATACCTGTGCCATGTTGGTGTGCTGCACCCATTAACTTGTCATTTACATTAGGTATATCTCCTCATGCTATCCCTCCCCCGTCCCCCCACCCTACGACAGGCCCCGGTATGTGATGTTCCCCTTCCTGTGTCCAAGTGTTCCCATTGTTCAATTCCCACCTATGAGTGAAAACATACGGTGTTTGGTTTTCTGTCCCTGGCGATAGTTTGCTGAGAATGATGGTTTCCAGCTTCATCCATGTCCTTACAAAGGACATGAACTTATCCTCTTTTATGGCTGCATAGTATTCCTTGGTGTATATGTGCCACATTTTCTTAATCTAGTCTATCATTGATGGACATTTGGGTTGGTTCCAAGTCTTTGCTATTGTGAGTGGTGCCGCGACAAACATACGTGTGCATGTGTCTTTATAGCAGCATGATTTATAATCCTTTGGGTATATACCCAGGAATGGGATGGCTGGGTCAAATGGTATTTCTAATTCTAGATCCTTGAGGAATCGCCACACTGTCTTCCACAATGGTTGAACTAGTTTACACTCCCACCAACAGTGTAAAAGTGTTCCTATTTCTCCACATCCTCTCCAGCACCTGTTGTTTCCTGACTTTTTAAAGATCCACATTCTAACTGGTGTGAGATGGTATCTCATTGTGGTTTTGATTTGCATTTCTCTGATGGCCAGTGACGCTGAGCATTTTTTCATGTGTCTGTTGGCTGCATAAATGTCTTCTTTTGAGAAGTGTCTGTTCATATCCTTTGCCCACTTTTTGACGGGGTTGTTTGATTTTTTCTTGTAAATTAGTTTAAGTTCTTTGTAGATTCTGGATATTATCCCTTTGTCAAATGGGTAGACTGCAAAACTTTTCCCACATTCTGTAGGTTGCCTGTTCACTCTGATGGTAGTTTCTTTTGCTGTGCGGAAGCTCTTTAGTTTAATTAGATCCCATTTGTCAATCTTAGCTTTTGTTGCAATTGCTTTTGGTGTTTTAGACATGAAGTCCTTGCCCATGCCTATCCTGAATGGTATTTCCTAGGTTTTCTTCTAGGGTTTTTATGGTTTTAGGTCTAACCGAGATTTTTTAAATTTTATTTTTCTTTTTCTTACATTCCCCTCAAATGTACTGAAGGAGCTATCACCTAGCAAAAGAGAAAAGGGCCTATTAAAGAGCTGATAAACTCCATCTTTTCCCCCATCGCAACCTCACACACACACTCTTAGCCACAATAGCAACAGGCTAGTCTAACCACGTTAGAAAGAACAGGAGATTTCTTTGGTAGAACATCACAACAAATCCTAAAACATATGTGCAAATGCAAAGGACAAAAATAGTCATAACACTCTTAAAGAACAAGGAGGAAAAATATACACTATTAGGTTTCAAGACTTTTCATAAAACCATAGTAATGAAGACAGTGTGACACTGGTGTAACAGCCAGTGAGCTCCACACTGCCTTATTACTACGGTATAACGAAAAGGGAGCTCTGAAATAGACCCACATATATGGTCCCCTGATTGACCACAAATAATGGTATCGGAGCAATGGAATATCCATATGATGAAAAAATTAACCTTGACACTCATCTCACATTATGCACAAAATTTACTTGAGGTGGACCATAAACAAAATGTGAGATGTTCAACAATAAATCTGCTAAGTTCAACTGTGTGCCAAGCTGCTTTGGAGAACTGCAACAAACTCAGCAGCAACTGCAGCAAACTCAAAAGCTGCCCTGGGATATTCTGCGTTTTGGAGGGAAACAGAGCAATACAAACTTCTGTCAAATTCCTCACAAAATATCAGCTAAGCTAATTCACACTTTCAGCATCACATTGTGCCACATTTTATTCTGTGCATACCTTAGCAAAATTAGGTGTTCCATGGTGGCTGTCAAGGAAAGCAAGTACTAAGAAAAAATTAGTATGGAAGAGGGTAGGAAATTTTGATCTAGGTAGTTACTTATTTTGTACATAAGCAAAAATTTAGAATTGTCATTTTATGTGCTTTTCTGTATTTATTTTCTTTTATTTTTTATAGTATTACTTTTTTGAGATGGAGTCTCGCTCTGTCACCCAGGCTGGAGTGCAGTGGTGCGATCTTGGCTCACTGCAAGCTCCGCCTCCCAGGTTCATGCCATTCTCCTGCCTCAGCCACCCGAGTAGCTGGGACTACAGGCGCCTGCCACCACACTCAGCAAATTTTTTGTATTCTAGTAGAGATGGGGTTTCACCATGTTGGCCAGGCTTGTCTGGAATTCCTTACTTCAGGTAATCCACCTGCCTCAGCCTCCCAAAGTGCTGGGATTACAGGTGTGAGCCACCACGCCTGGCCTGTATTTATAGTATGTCTCAATAAATAAATAACCAGAACTTAGTTTTAATTAGTATAATAAGACAATTCTAAATTTAAGTCACTACACTATTATTTAATCTGACCAAACTAAGTGCAAAGGCATTCAACATAGGGCAGTTAATGGCAGTTATTTACAGAAATCTTCCGTATTTACATGTCCTACAATGTGATGTTTCTTCACATATGATTTGTTTTATAAGCATAACATACCATGGTTCCTAAACCATGAGTTTGGGTTCTCGCTGCACTATTTATTGTTTGCATAACCCTGACAAGTTACCTCATCTCTTTTAAAACCAAGATAAAAATGTCACCATACCTTACTAGATTGTTGAAAAAATTAAAGGGGCCATGTATGCCTAGCAGAGAGTGAGAACTAAATGTTATATTTTGTCTTTATTGTTATTATCATTTCTCTTCCACAGATCTCGAGTAAACATGACTCAGCTTTTATAAACAATTTATGCAACCACAGGAATATAATTTTCAGCATAGACACAATTTTTGTCACTGATTGAGATCATTGCAAAACCAGGAAACCAGATGGAAGTGGAGAAGAAAAAAGGCAAGTGACACTGAATGGATGGAGAAGAAAAAGGGCAGGTGACACTGAATGGATGGAGAAGAAAAAGGGCAGGTGACATTGAATGGATGGAGAAGAAAAAGGGCAGGTGACATTGAATGGATGGAGAAGAAAAAAGACAAGTGACATTGAATGGATGGGGATGAGTCAGAGTGAAGGTGTTTGCAGCAGAACATTGAAAGTGGGAGAAAACACAGAAGCACGTTGTCCCCACTCCTTCACGCGGCACTCCAGTGTCTTGGGCAGGAGAGCCTGCCGCCACCATGGTGGAACCGAAGCAACCTGGCCCCATCGGAGGAGGGAGCTGAAAAACAGCTATTCAGCTGGACCAGCATCAGTCACCTCCAGAGTTCATGTTACTCTGTTTCTCTGACCCGGAGATGGTATCAGACGAGTAGAGAGGAGAGGAGTCGTCACTGCAGAGCAGTGAAATCACTATGGCAATACAGATTTCAATATCTAATTAAAGAGAATAAAATTTGATATGGTTCACATAAAGCCTGTATCAAAGCAAAATTAATTCCAGTCATATTTTTTAAACTGTGGAAGAAGATCCTGAAAATTTTCTAGTGATTATTGGGTAATAAATGAAAATCAACCCTCCTGTATTCACTAATGTAAGACCTGTGAAATGATTCTGTAATCTAACCACTATGCTATTTTATTGGTTTTCATAAACAACCAAAAAATACTCATTGCTTCACAGAAGACCTTGGGTTCTCAGCCCTCCACTGTGCCTATAATGACTTAAGTTTCTCTCCTAGGAATTCTCCCATGATAGGATTATTTTAGAATGCTGAGCCTCAAAAAGTGGGACATAATACTTTAGCAAAACATCATTTTGAGCCAATATTTGCAACGCTAAGATTTCTAAGTCCACATAAGGGTCTCCAGACTGTTTGTAATTCCCCATTATTTATGTTGAAATAATGGACCTGATTTTCCTTCTCTTTGACTACTAATAAGTAAAAATCTTTTTGCTAGGATGAACTGGTTTTCAATGGCCACCCTGACCAATATATTTATTAGCCTCAGAGACATAAGCACTTTAAAGAGATGCTTTCTTCATTGTCTAAGGTAGAGTTTTATGAGTAGTAATGGCAAATACAATCTGCTTTTACCTCTGAGCAGGTAAACCTAGCTGATTGTGCTAACCTCTCCAATTTTCCCTCCATGTGCCCGTAATTCTGACCCCTTCATGTCCTATTTTTAGATATTAGGATCAGATCCAGTTGGAACTGACCTCTAAGGTAAATATGAACAAATTAAAGGGTAAAAAATCTGGGAGACATTTGACACACCCACAGGCCCTGAAATAATAGAAAACAAGGAAACCTAAGAGACCAGCTTCTTGGGCAAGAATGTGAGGCGTGTTTGACATTGCCCGGACGGCACGGCTGAAATGAATACACTTGCTGTTCTGGAAAAGCTGACGTGGGCTTGATGACATTGCCCGGACGGCACGGCCGGAGTGAACACACTTGCTGTTCTGGAAAAGCTGACGTGGGCTTGAAGCCCCAGCTGTGATAATAAGACCACGTGACCTGTGACGACGTCTTGACTGAATTGGTCTTGAATCTAATTATGATGTTAAGCAGAGGTGTTGAGCCTATGAAATGAAGGCATGTCTGGAAGAAGAGACACAGCAACATGTTACAGCCAAACTAGAACCTAAAACCCACAAGCGCATGTCATCGCACCTGCTGTTCGTTTCTGCCAGAGCCGTCATCCAGTGATCTAGAGACGAGAAAGGGGAGCAACAGCGCTGAAAAGCAATGACACGTGGTGGGGAGCAAAGGCCGGTCGGGGGCTGAGCATTCAGGCTCCTCGTTGTGTTATTTCCGTCCCTTCGGTGGTGCTCCCTGAACTTCACCCCACATCTGAGAAACAGCCGGTTCAGCTGACAGCACACAGATCTCTACTCTTTTCTATTTTAAACAAAAAAACTACTAAGTGGTATTCCTCAGATCTTGAGCAATATTACACACCGAAAACTATGTCCTACTGAAAGTAAAAAGGTATTCTCCTGGGAAGTGGGCCCTATGTCTATTACACATACTTAGTAAAATCTCTCGCTGCGTCAGTATCTCTGGAAGGTCCTTAGCACTCACCAGGAACAGTGGTTGCCTCTAGGAATGAAATGGGACGACGGAAGACCTGGGGAGCAGCGGCAGGAGGAGACACTCATGATGCACCTTTTGGCCCTATGTAGTTATTTTCCACATGCATGGAGTGCCTTGTATTGACCCAGAACTAGTGATTATAATACCTTGGATTTCTATAATTATAGTAATTCTAATACCTTGCATTTATATAATGTTTTGCAGCTGTAACAACGTCTTCGTATCAGTTCTCTCATTTGAGTCTCTGTGGGTTGCATGAGGCTGCATTACTAGCTCCATTTTGCCACTGGGGAAATTGAATTCAAAGGGCTTTAGAGATTTACTGTGAGGAAATATTGGAGGCCAAGCTAAAACATAAGCTTCCAAACACTCAGCAAATCTTTCTTCCACCACACTACATTATTCTCAAGGAGGAGGGAGAGGAGAACTGAGGAAAGAAAGCCAAATTTTTTCCTTCAAAGGTAAGTAGTTAGAACCATCAGTTTGGGAATGTATTATCAGTAAATGAACCAAGGGGATCTTCCTGAGGCCAATTTAAAATCTAATTCAAATTATTTGAATTATTAAACAATAAGATGTCTTCCTTTTGCATCTAATTCAACAAGCATCAATAATAGCATAAATTTTAATTATCTGGGAATAATTAGGAACACATTTCTTTCCTATCACTCTTAGGGCCAAATCACATTTCTAAAGTGAAACCTAATCTAAGAACTTTCCAATATAATATCATATTATTAGGTAATTTAAAAATATATTTTGAAAATGAAATCTCCAAGCATCATTCATTAACAGACTCTGATATTCCCTTCAGTCACTGTCATGGCTAAGAAAGCAGCTCCAACCCACACACTGCAAGTATGAAGGCCACGAAAGGCACGCAGGCTCTGGTCTGCGTAGTGAAGACGAGCAACCGTGTTCCTAAGCATGAAGGACCACATGAGGATCCCGGACACCTACTGCATGAATGTATTAGCCCTTTCAGGTCTAGGGACCTGGTAACCCTTCATTACTTGTACTCTGACTTTCTTCCACTTCTTTCCTCAGTCCATAAATGTAACTTACGTGACTTATTAACCCTGACGGTTTGATCAACAATAGTAAGTTCTAGTTTCAGTCCTAGTGTTGGTGCCCCTACTGCAGACATGGGATAAAGTCAAGGGCTAACCACCCTTACAAATTTACACGTTTCTAAAGGGTGCCTTGGGAGAGAGGGAGTGCAGAGCAGAGAAAACCTACCTGTGCAACTGACAAGGCCACTCAGGCCACGGGGACAGAGCAGGAATGCTCTCAGGAGTGCCCCCTGCACCTGAACTCGATTTCTGCCATCGCCTTCTGCCTCCTACCCAGCGTCTCCTGCACAGTCAGTCAAGCGTTTCCACGGTACCAGCCATACCTGATGCCAGGAGACTCACTACACTTGGAAGCTCTTCAAGGTGGGACTTTCTGTCTTCTTCAGTGCTTCATTCTCAGTAGTCAACACAGGACCTTATACTGAAAGGAAATAAGTGCAATGTCCTAACAGGTGCCTCTGGAATAAATGAGCATTTGAAACGACAATATATATAGAAAAAATAGAAAATATACACTGGACATATTTTAGGTGGCTGAGATTATTGAATGGGAAAACAGTGAGATTTTACAATTGTGTGAGTATCATAAACGCTTCCTATATAACATCTGATTTTGCCCTTATCACAGAGAATTCATATAATCAAAACTATCTCCCTCCAAATGTCTTCCTAAACATGAAAACAAATTATTTGACTTCATAATGCCACTTTTCACCCCAAAGTGTCTGACCCTTTCACTAAACATTACTGAGTATTAAATAGGATAGATATAATTTCTCTGAAATTCACTGAATATGATTTTCAAATGCTGTAATTTCTAAAAATAATATCTAGGCTGCCTTTAATTCCTCATGTCAGTAATAATTAATGTCCCTACGAAGCTTACAGGGAATCAGATACATTTGTTTATAACATACTGAAGAATTTTTAAACAACCACAGAATATGGATATAATAAGATAAAATATTAAATATTTCAAGGCATGCTTATCTTTGTGAACTGAATCTTGGAGAAGGAGGATTGAACATCAGTTACCTCTGAGGCTCCACCACCTACAAGGGACGCCCTCCCTCTCCCCCGTGGACCACCTGTCTAACCCGAGTGAGTCTCACACAGAAACCAGTCATGGCCCTGCCTTTGCCCCCCTTGAAATCACCCGAGAGGATGCTTCCAACTCAGGCACGCATAACTGACACTCACTCTGCATGCGACAGCAGGGGAATGACCTTACAAGAAACTAATGGGCCTCGCTTCCGGAGAATCACTGTCAGAGCCTGTAACATAAGATAAATCACAGCCAAGGATTTTTGAAAAGTTTCCTGATGAGAGAACCATGACCTTTTCAAGGGTAGTGATGGATTGATCAGGGCAAGCAACATGTAGATTTTTTAAAACAAGGCTAGCAAAAGAAACAGTGATATATATATCTACCAAAGTTAGCTAGAATACCCGGCTGGTGTCCCAGTCAGGAAACACAGGAAAAGGTTACATCTGTAGGAAAAAAAAAAAAAAAAAAAACTTGTTACGCGAAACGATGCAGTTAAAAACCAAGCTCACTGTAAGAAATGCCGTGTGGGCCAGAGGGGACTGTCATGTCGAAAGTGCTCGGTGTTCCTGAAGCTGGGCGGCCAGGTGTTTTAACACACAAAGTCTCTCCCTGCTCGGGCCATGGGATAAGCCTCCGAGTGGAGACCCAGCAAGGAGCTCTGAAGTCTGTGCGGGGGGTGGAGGGTGGGAATCCTGTTAGAAGCTCTCCCTGCTGTGAATTTGTGAAGCCCCGTGCACACTGTGACTTTTATAATCATAACTTAGCTGGCTTTAGCTCACGTCGCAGGTTTCATGACAGGCTGCTCCTTAACGAGCATTGTAATCTGGAGGAAAGAATCCAAATTCTTTAGTCACCACCTAACTCCACGTTCATTACCGTGTTGTGCAGAGTGGAGTCCAAAAGCGGCAACTGTGTTTATTTCTCCACAGAAAATAAACTTCCACCAAGGCACGTCTGTTCTATGGTTTTTTTATTCTTAACTAGACTGTTAATATAATTGTTGGTTGCATTGATTTCAGCTTCCCCACAGGATGCAACTGGTTTTCTGTGGCATTTCACTCACACTAACCAAGAGAGACATCAGACAGTTAAAATACACTCTGGACCAAAACCGAGGGCAAGGGAGAGGTGAGCAGGCCAGGCACAGCTCTGCTGAGAGAGACTCTGGACCAAAACCCAGGGCAGGGGAGAGGTGGGCAGGCCAGGCACAGCTCTGCTGAGAGAGACTCTGGACCAAAACCCAGGGCAGGGGAGAGGTGGGCAGGCCAGGCACAGCTCTGCTGAGGCACTGGTTTGACACGTTGAGTTGAAGGGTTTCTACTCAAAACACCTGTCTCCCTGCCAAGGTGAAGGCTAGATGGTAAAAAAGAAAGTTCCTTTCTTTTCTGATAAACCTAGGCTCTCTCCATAGGAAGTGCCCTAAAGGCCCCCAGCTCTGACCCCCAGCGCAGACCCCAGACTCTCCTACTTTGAACGGACATGAAGCTTTATGCCCCTCGCCCTGGATAACGCGCGTGCCCTAGATTGTCTCCCAGGCCAAGCCCTCTCCAAGTTCTTGGCCCTTTGTCCTGAGGTTGGATCGCTTCCTCTCGCTTCCCTTGCTGCGAGCTGTGTCTCTGGATACACCCCGTGCAAAACAGGCTTCCCGAGCTCGCTGGCTTCTGGCTGGGTTCAGCAAACGGGAAGCCCAGACAGGAGACTGGAGAGCAGGAAGACGGGAGAACAAGGAGATTTCTCCTCCTGCAGCACCCCCAGCAGCAACGGCGTGTCCTCCACAGTTAACTGAAAGAAAAAACCTGAGTCCTGGTCTCCTGGGTTGCCAAAGGGTCTTCTCCTTAGACATGTAAATACACAATATATTCGCATTTTTTAGTAAGCCTTTAGAGATTTAACATCAGTAAAAACAAATGGAGCAATATGAAATTGCAACTCACTGAGGGCATTACGATTCAGAAAGTGAAGGAATGTGGGGCCAGTTCCTGCCGCAGCGCAGCACCTGTCCCCACGCCCGGCTGCAGCGCACCTGTCCCCACGCCCGGCCCCGCACCTGTCCCCACGCCCGGCCCCGCACCTGTCCCCACGCCCGGCTGCAGCGCACCTGTCCCCACGCCCGGCCCCGCACCCGTCCCCACGCCCGGCCCCGCACCTGTCCCCACGCCCGGCCGCGCACCTGTCCACAAGTGTCCAACTCCCAGGCACTGCGCTTCAACACGCGCCACGCGCATCCTCAGCTGGGCATTTCCAGAGGGAGCAAGTCTCCGAGAGGCAGGTCTAGCGCTAAGTTTTCAACGAGCCGCAGGCGATACTTCCGAACACAAAGAAATGAGAATGACTTCACCTCTCGGCAGAGCCAGAAGCAGTAGACAAACAAGCAACCATGGGATTTTTTTTTCTTCCCTCCTTGGGGACACACTCCTGCCTCCCATCGCACCGCCCTGGAAACAGGAAGAAGGTGCACATCTTGGTACAACCATCAGCCGTGCCCAGGTCCGCTTCAGTGGGATGTTTATAAATAAACATGATGCGATGTCCCCAGAAGAGGAACATTACACTGGGAACATCCGCAGATGGCTCAGAATTGCATCCATATTTAGTTATTACTTAGGAATCATTAAGGAAATAAATGCTTTCTTTTTCCAGGACTTCTTTTAAGAGAGGTTGGGTTAGCTTTCCGGTGTTTTCTGTCACTTCCGCAATTTTAAATCGGATGACATAGTGGGAGATTTCGCTTTTAGGAGAGATTTTGTTTTTACGGCTTTCTCCTTTCAGCTATGGTAACAAACATAGCTACCCACACTTCGCATGCTTAAAGGCCGGATGGGACCATCTCTGTATTAGGGCCCAAACAAAATTGGCTTCTGGAACAAGTGTGGCTGTGTTGAACTCGGTCCACTTGAGTCGCAGATGCGGTTGACAGAGAGAGGACCAACTGCATACAAAGCTCCTTTAGAGAATATCCTGCTAATGTGACCTACGTTTCAAAGTGGAAATCAAATATTCGCTGCCACTGGAGTCTTAATATTTCTGGGATTATCAAAAGGACTTTCCTCTGACACAGAAGATACCATAACTTGACTGGGGGTTGAATTCTGATTCTGCCACAAAATAGCTGTGCATGACACCTAATCTTTTTCTCATCTTTAAGATGAAGTCCTGAAATTTCAGGATACTTCCAACTTCAAAACATATCATTCCATGCAACAGAGAGGCAACACATTGATGAGACTCCTGTCCCAAATCATATTCTATCCTGTACCTTTCTATCAGTCGGTAAAATCGCAGATGCTGATTTAGACAAGCTTTATATCACTGACTACCAAACAATGTCAGGTTGATCTTTGTACGAAGGGGTCAGTTGGGAAACACCTGGCCAGCGCGGAGAAGTGTGGTTGGTGTTGGAGGGAAAGGAGGAGGAGATGACAGTCACATTAGAAAGCTGCTCTGCCCCGAAATGAGCTCAGTGATTCACAAAATGCCATCACCAAATCTGGCACCTACAGCCAGTCCCCAGTGACTCCCTGGGTAATAAAGAAATTCCAGGGCTCTTAAGAGTCATCATCTGTTTGAGGGGTAGTTCTAAGGCACCTAGGTCCAAACAGAACCACTTAGAATGCCAGCAGAATAGACAGAAACCTGCAGTGGTGTCCCCTGACTTCCCAGCTTTCTAGGGCCTGGTCCCCACCTACAGCTAAGAATAGATGTCAGAGGCCCAGGCGGTGGATCACGAAGTCAGGAGATGGAGACCATCCTGGCTAACACGATGAAACCCCATCCCTACTAAAAGTGCAAAAAATTAGCCGAGCGTGGTGGTGGGCACCTGTAGTCCCAGCTACTCCGGAGGCTGAGGCAGGAGAATGGCGTGAACCCAGGAGGTGGAGCTTGCAGTGAGCAGAGATTGTGCCAGTCACTCCAGCCTGGGCCACAGAGCCAGACTCCGTCTCAAAACAAAACAAAACAAAACAAAAAAAACAAAAAGAATAGATGTCAGGTGGGCACAGGATCCAAACTGTGGGCTAAAGTTACCATTAGAAGCTTGCCTTGAAATTGCTTTACAAACCTACACTCTTCTATCCACCAATTTTGACACCAGTGGAATATGAAACTTCACATGTAAACTCAGTATCATCCTTTCATGTGAATTCAGAAATTCCAAGTTGGTGATGTATTTTTATGTGACGTTAGCAAGAATTAAACTAATGTCTCTTTGCCTGGACTTCTTTTCCAGAAAGTGTCCTATGTGGTGAAGGGTGAAGGAGTGAAAGGGGGTTAGGAGGAGAGTATATAATTTAGTCTTGAGATATTACAGTGGTATCAGTACTGTTGTGCACACAGAGCTTTACTGTTTTAAATATTATTTTATGTGAACATGGGCTTAATCACTTTCGAAACAAATTAGCCAAAGAAGACAACTGATGCTTAAGCCTATCGCTTAGCTAAATACATATAGGAATAGCTGTATTTCAATAAGCATAAAAACAAGAATAAGGATGAGATCATACCCTTGGTTGAAGCAAACTTTGGCTTAGTTCTCCATTGAATATTTTATTACAGGAATCAAAAAGTTGAGAAGATTCTGTTCTGCCATGTAAACTAAAAGCCAACCAGTAGATGAGAAATTGAAAACCACAAAGCTTGGGGGAAAAAAAATGAATGCTTTGGAGCATAAATTTTTCCATTAAATTATGCCAATAAACCTAGGACCTTGAAAGTTACTATGCTGAAATGTATTTCAAAAGGAAGAAAATGCTCTTTTCAAACTAAAGACTAGAAATTGAATGTATAGATTAGCAAGATTTTTTAATTCCACTAGGATAAATAAACCAATTTGTTACTTCCTGTTAATTCAATATCAATCTGTTTGAATTGGATTTACATTTTTAAATATAGAAGATACCTTTGCAAAGTATTCAATTAAAATAAAAACAAGCCTAGGTATATGTCTCTCTATCTTTTCTAAGCTTTCCAGATGCGTATCACACACTTGTTTTCCCACTGGTTGTGTAAGAATACCAAACATTAATTGAGGGTTGTTATATGAGTAAGAACAACTCCCAAGGTGTGAACGCCATGGGAAGTCACTGAGCTCAAGTATTCACCTCATACTAGTCAAAGTTAAGGATAGTACAAGAGGAAGGGTTGGGTTAAAGTGTAGGATCTTATGTTACTGCAATGATTGGAAGCTCCTAATTAACAGGAAGTATGGAGTGGAATAAAGCGAACTTATCGTGAGGATCCTGGTGTTTTCTGTGGTACTTTCTCCTCCTCTCTACTGGACACTCTTTTTCTTCTTTGTCTTTTTCCATTAAATAAAAGCAAGCCATTGATATGATTAATATGATTCAATAGACTGTGGATTGAGAATCAGAATTTTGGAGTTGTTAGTAATCAACAAAGTAATCATCCAAGCATTTAATTTCACTGTGAATGATAGCAGTTGAAATGATGATTTCTTGTTATTCCTTGATTCTACATTTAAAACACATTATTTTCCAATTTTATTTCAAGGAGGAATAAAATAGGAGAGAGAAAATATAAAGCAAAGGGGAATAAAGAAAGAAGTTTAAAATTAAACGTGATACATAATCCCAGGATTATCTTCAAAACATTCTTAAATCTTAGTTTGGTTGTGTACAGATTAATCTATGTAGGCCCTCCTTCTGAGATTTTCTTATCTATAATAGAAATATTGATTCCACTATGACCTCTGTCTCTCTTGGCTGTTAGAACTCCAGATGCCAATAATGCAGGAAAAGGCAAAAAGTGAACATCTTTGTCAAGAGTCATGGATACAGCAGCCTCTCACTGTACAGTGAAGGGAATGCCCTCCTCTGTAGCAAAAAGATGACTCAATTTCTAAGTTATTATTTCCACCCAAATATCACATTCTTCCAACCTTCCATCATCACCCTCTCCTACCCCTGTGCAACTTACGCAAATGTCAGCACCTTACACCAACCCTTTCCTACACCAACTCTTTCCTACACCAACCCTTTCGTACACCAACCCCTTTCCTACACCACCCCTTTCCTACACCACCACTTTCTTACACCACCCCTTTCCTACATCACCCCTTTTCTATACTACCCCTTTCCTACACCACCCCATCCTACACCACCCCTTTCCTACACCACCCTTTCCTACACCACCCTTCCCTACACCACCCTTTTCTACACCACCCTTTCCTACACCACCCTTTCCTATACCACCCCTTTCTTACACCACCCCTTTCCTACACCACCCCTTTCCTACACCACCCCTATCCTACACCACCCCTTTCCTACACCACCATTTCCTACACCACCCCTTGCCTACACCAACCCTATCCTACACCACCCCTTTCCTACACCACCCCTTTCCTACACTATCCCTTTCCTACACCACCCCTTGCCTACACCAACCCTATCCTACACCACCCCTTTCCTACACCACCCTTTCCTACACCACCCCTTTCCTACACCACCCCTTTCTTACACCACCCCTTTCCTACACCACCCCATCCTACACCAACCCTTTCCTACACCACCCCTTTCTTACACCACCCCTTGCCTACACCACCCCATCCTACACCAACCCTTTCCTACACCATCCCTTTCCTACACCAACCCCTTTCCTACACCACCCTTTCCTACACCACCCTTTCCTACACCACCCTTTCCTACACCACCCCTTTCTTACACCACCCCTTTCCTACACCACCCCTATCCTACACCAACCCTTTCCTACACCATCCCTTTCCTACACCATCCCTTTTCTACACCAACCCCTTTCCTACACCACCCTTTCCTACACCACCCCTGTCGGACACCACCCCTCTCCTCCTGCCTGCTCATCATTCCCTCTTACACATGTTGGTCTCACTCACCCTGGGCTCCACTCCCTATCCCTCTCCCTCACATGGTCTTACAAACCAGGACACCTTCTGTTTCACATGCCCTAATCCTTATACCACCCCTACCCAAATCACCTCCCTCAATAAATACACAGAAGTTGGCCGGGTGTGGTGGCTTACACATATAATCCCAGCACTTTGGAGGCCGAGGCGGGTGGATCACTTGAGGTCAGGAGCTCGAGACCAGCCTGGCCAACATGGTGAAACCCCGTCTCTACTAAAAATATAAAAGTTAGTGGGGCATGGTGGTGCGTGCCTGTAATCCCAGCTACTCGGGAGGCTGAGACAAGAATCATTTGAACCCAGGAGGCGGAGGTTGCAGTGAGCCAAGATCATGCCACTTCACTTCAGCCTGGACAACAGATCAAGAATCTATCTCAAAAAAAATAAATTAAATAAATAAATAAAAGCACAGAAGTTATGCAGACAGCTGAACTATCATGAATAAATAATACATTAACTAATGTTGTAGT